CGATCTAAATGCCGATGAAAGTAACGAGTTCCGTAAGAAAAGTGTCTTTAACAAAGTTTAATCACCAGTTTCAGTCGCGATTATCAAAAACGGCTCCGCCGACTAGGCTTGTCAGTTACAACGAGCCGTTAATCTTTTGCACATTTGCAAAGTATTGCTTGCGAGACCATTAATCTTTGAACATTTCTTTTATATTTTGCTAATAAATAAACCGAGTGATAAATGATAGCAGTTCCACTAAAAAGCGATAACGAGAGCCATAATTATGGAAATAATTACGCGACTTGTAAATACAGCGGCGCAATGAAAGTTAAGCAAACAAAATTAATTAAAGAAATGTTTTTGCATTTCTCTGACAAATAATCTTTTTTCTCGCGTTCATTATCGTCCTCAAAATCCTCCTTCGTTCTTCGGAGTGTTGAGAGGTGCATTTTCTCGTTCACAAGCCTACAAAGAGCACGTAGCGTGCCAGAGGCGCAGCATCCCGCACGGTATGGTTAAGGTAATGATCATACCGCGCGAATGCCGATCTATTTACGATCCGCGTTTACGTCTCGCGGATAGTACGCACGTAGCTTACAATACGACATGAATGGCGATTCTACTTCTGAACGGATCATTCAAGCCGCGCGTCACGCGGCTCACGCGCGCTTTCGCTGACCGAACACGGTGCATCTCGTCATATCGGATCGCGACACAGCGTTTTGTTACATGTCCATACTCGGCGCGGGAACAAGTTCGGATTGTCGTCGACACGATTTCCGATCGTTTGCATTCCATGTTTCCCTCGCGTATACTCGGTGAATGGCGTTTCGCACACGCGCGTAGAATGTAAAGAGCCGAAGCGGTAGTAAAAGGCGTAGACAAATTGCAGAATCACACATGACATTGGACTTTTCATGTCCCGAGAACACATTTGATTCACTGGCTTGCTTTTATAAATGTTATATTACATTACTTAAAATTCTGTTGCGATCAATTTAACTTTTATCGCCGGGGAAACCAGCAGAGGCATGTCACAAGCTGTATCTCTTTCGCTTTAATCGTTTTGACATTTTGATACGACTATCGCGAAAATAAAATATACGACCGCCGTTCAACATTGACAAATTTGCTAAATACTTCCCACGGCTTATCCCGCGCGTTATCGAAAAGCCTTATCTATAATCCAACTCACGGCTGCGCGGTACAAATGCCTCGTGTCTGTACGACACGTGAACCACGTACAGTGTGGAGTTTGCAAATGACAGTTGCGAACGTGAATCGGCTGTGCAAACAGCGTACCGGATTTGAACGACGCGATGACGGTAGACGCGCAGAATCAACCCGCGCGCTTTCGAGACGTGAGATAGCGGAATATATTACGCGATGATCCGCATTGACCTTTCGCGTGCCAGCAGCTTACGCTGTATCGCTATTCAGTATGATTGCCAGGGACAATGGTCAAACAAAACGGTAATTGCTGACGATTGCACGTAATTGTACAATACGCGGCGATCAAATAATATTCATTGTGAGAATTGCGAAGCAATAAAGTCGACGAATCATCATGATCGAGGATCAATATAATTTTTCTTATTCAAATTCTTCGATTGAAAATAAAACGATCAAAGAACTGTCGAAAATAATGAAAAAACGAGTTTTCAGAAGACGCAAAACACGCAATAAACTCGCGACGACACGTGTAATTCGAATTATGTCGAAATTTCATGCAGTCTGCAGAAAGCCAGCACAAATTTCAGCTACCACGATAACTCGCTAAACCTTTCGTCGGTTTACACGCGGGCGAGTAACGGCGTTGTAAACATAAAAAGTTTCGCGGAGCCGAGACGTTTTATTCACCTACACTCCATCCGCCACCCTCAAACGCCTCACGGGCCTGCCCATTATTTTTTCAGACGTGCTAATGCCTCGCCGGTGAGGAGCGACCCGACGCGACGTGACATCTCGCCGCGATGCCGCGGGCGCAGCGCGGATTTTCGTCGCGACGCTTTATTCTCTTTATTCCCTTACGCGACAGTTTACTCGCTTTCCCAAAACGGGCTAACCGTCGCGCGCGCGCCTCTCTTCCTTGATTGCAGCTATCGAGGTAACTCCTTGCATAATGCATATCGGCCTAACACGGGGAGACGGAGAGGAAAGAGGGACAGAGCGTGGAACGGAGAAAGCCGGAGAGGCGACCGGTATGAAGGCGCGCTTCGCTGTACAAGAGTGCAATTTAAATTTTCGGACTGACTCACCGCAGCGGGAACTTTTTCAATGTATACAGTTTTAAAAGCCCCCGCGTCCTGTGCTGCCTGCTCTGCATAATGCAAAGTGGCTGCGTATCATCCCCACTCCGCAAGCAACGCGGCATACCACCGACTATCTGCTGGTTCGTGAATTTGTACGGGTATGGAATATGCACAGCGCGGGGTCACGTCGCGTCGTGTCGCGTCGCGTCGTGGGTCACCATTTAGCGCGACATTTTCCTTTTTCCCGTCGCTCTCTGTCCGCGGGACATTTTAAAACCGGACGCTAGATTTACGACTCTTCCTCACTGATTTCGTCGTCCTGCGCTTCTATTTTTCGTAGGTCGATTCGGCGAAAGGTACGGGACGACCGATTCGCGCATTAGACTTTCATATTCGCACGCGAGTGCCCTGGTTCTTCCGCCGCTTTCCGTCATGAATAGAAACGCTAGCTGAAAAAACGACCGATAAATGCCGAATTATCCGGGCGCGGAGCTTCTGCATGCGAGCGATACGTTTTCTGCGACGAAATGCGCACCGCGTGGACATCGAAAACTTGCGAAACGAAATGTTTCATGAAAACTAACTGGTTTGCCTGTCAAATTACGCGGTTCGGTATCCCCAGAGGAAATCTTCGAATTGACTAAAAATGATGTACAAAGAGAGTTTCTTATGAGATATAACGTTCCGAAACGTTGAAACTAATAAAATTGCGAGAAGACAAACACATGGGAAGAACGTTTTAATTGGATTGTCGTAATCCATCGAGTCGTGATTGGTAATTATAAATATGCGCAAGAATATAAGTAAAATTGTATCATTTATACCGTAAAATTATTATATAATGCGTTTTAATATTAATTACGATTTGCAATTGCACGTGAGTGAGAAAAGGATGATACAAATGAAATTAAATAAATAAATTGGCATTCCACTTAATTGCCATTCATCGAAGCCATCAAACTTCTCCAAAATTATGTTCAAATGTGATAGATATAGCGGTAAGATAAAAAATATCGGTGTTATTAAACATAAATGCTCATATAATAACAATCAATTTATAGCATAACATAGTAAAAAAGTATTTCTTTTACAAATAACGATTTGTATCTATGTAAGCATTCAAACTTTTCAATTTAATTTTTTACCCACTTAATAATGATATTAATGCAAATAATAAATTAATAAAAATAATACTCGAATAAAAACACACCACGCTAAGAAATTATATGTTTAAATATGACCGTTCGAAAAAAAAGCACAATCCAATGTTAGATACTGATTTATGAAATTCGTTCTATCAAAACAGATTCATAAATATTACTTTTTCACAACGTAACAAACGTCTGACGATATCGCGAATATTTATAAAAGATCACTCGCATATTTTAGAGCCAAGGAAAAATTTTTTAATATATATTTTTAATACACGCACGGATTTGACATCTACGAAAATACGGTTCCCTACAAATGATTACTTCGTAACAGCCGTGCTATAAATAGATCTGAACGGCCTTGGTCAACCTTCTTTGGGGTCGTCGGCTTCAACCGGCATTCTCACGCGTAAAGATATATATTCTTAGCAATATTGAAATTCATCTAAGAAATCATGAACGGGATACTTTCGATGAGGAAGTATTCAATTGTTGACAAATAACATACGCTTCTCCAGAAGCAGCTTCACTTTTATGATACTAAACATTTGTAAATAAATCATATTAAAATTCGCGCATTTTGTTTCACAAATTTGCAGCAATTAATTTTAAAAATTAATATGTTAAAAAATTGAATTTAATACTATTTTTTCTCCATAGTTTTTTTTATTTTCAAAAATAATTAAAACATTGATCGTGTAAAAAACTTTATGGAAAATGAAACGAAGAAAAAACTTTTGTTCGCATATACGTATTACTAAAATTTAATTCGACAAAATTCTTCAATTCTGTATTCTGTATGAATAAAAGTATATTGTATAGATAGGTAAAAGCCTTTACTAAATTACTATCTTTTTTCTCCTTCAATTTCATACAGAAAATACACAGAAGTTTTTGAAGTAAAATTTCTCATTTCTAACTCATTTTTGAGAAACAAAAATGTTCAACTGCATTCTACACAAAGGAATCAACCAACTATTATGTTTTGTTCGCTAGTAATTTATTTATATGATCCGTAATTTATTTATATGATCGAATTAAGATTTCACTGTGCGGACAACAGTCGAGTACCAAAGATTGAATTTTGTCAGTGGTCATTGGACACGGTCAGAAAATTGCGGCCCTTGTTCGTTTTCAAGCTACGTCTTCGTTGAACCGAAAAATCGCCCAAATATCTCATTTGCTTCCTTTTCGGACTTAACGTACTCGCGAATCAATAGTGGTTCAGTCTTGCGCGACGTTATCTCTATTCGCACGGTCGGAAAATGATTTCGTAATCGTTAAAGTATTTTTTTATTCGACGATTCTGTTAACGCTTTGACGGCTGAACTGCGATGATATAACTGTGATAAGATAAAAAGCAGTAACGTGCGTACTAAAATTCTTCATACAGAAGATCGCAGCAATGCATTGTGCTATTGCGGTATTGCTCCGATTTATCAGAATTTCTATGCAACACACAGAGTGCAACGATAATAATAATATGTAATAGTTAAGTCAGTTTACACTGTAACGGGAGGAAATAGTAGCAAAAAGCAGCACTCCAACCTGCAAATTACTGCACTTTATCTTATCACACGACAGAAATCTGTGATTTAAGGCCTCAATACTTTACCGACTTCCGGAGACGAAAAAGAGCCGGTCCTCTCGTCGATCTCGGTGAAATCTTCGGATATCACAGGTTTTATCACAGAACGATATATGGGCAGTATTCGGTGGGACGTCCAAGTTTCACTTGACGCAAAATTAATCGCAGTTGTTTCTCGCAGAGAAACTCAACTCGCGCAAATAAATAATCCTGTCCGATCTGTCTAGACAGGCAGCGATTATTGCGTTCGTGCTAATCGCATTAAAATATGTACGATGCGACACGAAGCAGCGAGGTCGACGATCGGCGACGTGTCGGCATGCGTCCGCGTGAGTTGTTATCTTTATCTACGTAAGCGCATAACGTGGTGCCGGCTTTTTGCAATCGGCGACGACGAGCAAACTCTCGAGAGTTTTGCGTGCGGCGAGCTTCGATCGTCGATACAGGCCGGTGGACGACTACCTGACACGATCGTGCTATTTCGGCTGTACAGATTGCATTTCAAAAGGTCACACGGAGCTGTTGCATGTCCCGACGAGCGAACCGGCAAAAGTCAAGCTTCGCCGCTATGCACGTCCTCGATCTGGCAGTCGATTATTATTATTGGCAGCGATTCCGCGTCAGCGCCAAAACTGGAGCACGTTAGTGTCCGATTGTGCCTGAAATCCGGCCGGGCGTAACAACAATAGTGCTAATTGTTGACAATTGACGTTAAGGTTATGTTGTATTGAAATTGGCGAGCGACAATGGAGTAGATCGGAAACGTAGCCCAAGCAGAAATGTAGCGGTGAAAAATTGATGACGACCGGCGGACACGCGCTGCCACGTCACTCGTGTGTAATTGCCGGCGTGAATTCACGCGTATTGTGTGTATTAACTAGCCGTGAATGGCGCGTACGATATACGTATGGAATTAGGCGTTTCGCTTTCATTCGAAGTCGAACTCGATGATTTTCTTTAACGTTAGTGAGGTCACAAAAAGTGAATCACGAGGAACAATTTCGTCTGCGACGAGTTATGGATAAGTGAGTTATTGATAATCGTGGACGTCCGCTGACTATTCTCCCGCCCAAACGATTTCCACCGTTACGACGGAAGACGCGGAACTTGCGCGAGGATTCGCCACGGAAACTTCGAAATTGAACGGCGTCTTTTCACTTCGGGACACAGCGCGCTCGCGAGGAATGTCGGGAACGCTCGGAATGTTGCGGAGCGACTCTCGTTTTTCCGGAAACGAACGGCTTCCACTTGCACGACTATGCCTCACTCACACGCACCACACTTTAAAAGCACTCGACGTATTCGTTGCACACGATGAGCTTCACGCTACACGACGTAATAGGAACCGCCGAGATGAATAAAAATGAAACGATAGGACACAGTACGCCCGCGATCGTGTCCGCTGGAGCACTGACGCGCGGTTACCAACTAACTCCACGAGTAACTGCGGCCGACTTCAGTCGGAGGACTTCGGCGGCTCCGCTCGCCAGCCGAATGGACCCGAGGCGTTACGAAGCACCCGTCTATCCGACGGGGTGTGCGGCCCGACGCCTGATGACACTCCAGTCTCGACCTCGGATCGAGATAGAGCGAAGCGGGGATTTTTCACGCTGTATCAGATCTTTTGAAGAAAGGATCTTTTGTAAGGTTTCTATTTGGCAAGAAATGTTGAGATACGTTAATTGCGATATCAGGTGCAATTTATACGGATGTCACAGATGCTCCGAAACATCTCAAGCTTATCCGGCTTATTTAACAAAGTATTTTAAATGTATATTATTAATACGTTATAACTTTTACTCAACTCATTTCAAAAATTTTAATCAGAAAGATAATGAAATGAAATTTTGAAAATAAGTCTATTTGCATAGAATTAACAGCATAATGAGTACTAGTAAGCTGCTCTGTGAAATTTTAAGCGACAAAAAGACAAAATATTCAGAAATAATTAAATAGATTGCATTTTATGCCAGTATAATGCAGATAACTGTGATCTATATTAATCTATGTTGATTTTGGCTAAATTTACGATAAATTAAAAAAAAATAATATTCCACAATGTATACGATCTACGAATAATACAATCGATAAATATTGTTCATAATTAAAACAACAATATTATCCGAAACACGGTAATATTAGGGGTGAATTTTCAAGCGAAATCAGCATCAAGAAACTGAAACGATAATAACGCGCACGATGCGGCACTTAAATTACGCTATTCCGAATCTGTTTCTCGCGTTGTGCAACGTCTTCATGCATGATAGTCGTCAATTATCGTCGTTGCATGAGCTTCGCGTTGGATTAAAACGGGAACGGCGATGGCTGGTGCGTGATGGAAATCGTTTTCACGCCAGGTTGAAGATTTTCGTGCCCCGTTGGGATCCGACCTTGTCGTACAGACTCGGCCGAGTAACGAAGGTAAACGTATGTACAGACGTGTGCATATAACTCGCGCGCTACGAGTTCATCAGAATCTAGTTAACTCCTCGACCTGCCGAACTTCGATCTAATAACGAAGCGCACGCGAGCCTATCTAATAATCATCGCGATTATATCTTCATTAAGGTCCGAGGATATATCATATTTACCCCTCGTTGTTAATTCTCCCACGCAAACATCCATTATAAATGTTTGCATATGTCGTTCATGAATAATAGCAGAAAGTAAAGCTATCATTAATCAAATGTTTCTTTCTTTCATAAAAAGCAAAACTTGCGCCGCGCAACGCACAGTTACATATCGGACAAAGTACGATCATTTTTCTCTCATAGTAAAATGATTCTTCGCAACGAACAAATATACTGATTGTCTTATACGCGATTATTAGGCTGCCATCAAATTTTGGTTCACAAGATTTGCACGTTGATCAAAATTTTCATTTTGATGCGCTCGTGGACTTCATAGTAACAAACTCCTTCTCGCGCCTTGCGAAGTACATCGCATAAAGATATCCAAGATATTCTTTATGAACTGTGAGTATGTTCGCGTTCGCTTTTAATCTTCCGCTGAAATTTCTCTAGAATTCCGTGACGCGTGCATGTGCACGAAAGAGACCCGGATGAAATTTTATTACACGCATACATTCTGTTCGCGTGGGCATTTGGCAATTTCAAACTTGCATAATTTCTTTCCTTTGTTTTTTCTTTGCTTTTCGATGCCGGCGGTTATTTTCCGCAACGGGAGAGTTTAATTATCCGCAATTCCGGCCGCGTAAGGCACGCGAAGGTTTGGAGGAAAACGAAAAAGATTGTCAAAAGCACGATCTGTGAGTCTTCCGAACGAGATTACAAAATCCGGATGACCGGATGGACGCTCGCGGATTTACATTTTCATTAAATCTCTGATTGCGAACCGCGGGCTCCTTGGGCGTTGCTGAAAGCCTGTCGCCGCGTAATAAAGTGCACGGAAAATCCTTTTCTTTTTTTTTGCGAACTGCCGACACATTCCAACTTTGATCTTCCTTTCAGGAACGACCTTATTCTCCATCTTCCTTCTCTTCTCGGCGGCCCATCGACTTCGTTCCCGCATGAGTCTCTCCCAAACCTGTTTCCCGAGCAAACCCTCATAAAAAATACAATATTTTCCTTTCATTTGATCCGACAACTTCGTTCCTTCCCCTCCCTCCCTACCTACGATTCCTCCGTGTCTGTTCATCTCTTTGTGTGCCTGGCGGATCTGTAAGTTTAATTCGACGCGGAAGTCCAGGCGAGTCCGCGTCACAACCGCTCGCTCTAGGCGACTTGATTGCTTTGTCCTCTGAGACTCTAATATGAATTACAAACCTGCTCCTTGACTCTCCTCCATTCTCATCCTCTCATCTTTCCCTGAATCTCATCCTATTCCTCACCGACTGCGTACCCGTTTAGAGAAGTGAGAAGGACGTTTGGACATCGTGTCTTGTTGCCAGAAATGTGCATTAAGATGAAAGCCCCCGCCAATCTCTCTCCCCCCCCCCTCTTTCTATTTATAATTCAAATAAATAGTACTCGCATTAATTAACTATAATATTTCTGTGAGCTTTTTTTTAACGCGAATATAGATTTATATCTGCAAAATAATAAAGAGAAAAGAAATGATAAAAATGTGGGAGAATAATATTTCGCACATCGACGTACGTCGATCTGAGTCGTATTAGAGGCGAGTCGACGGTTTATGTTAGCCCGACTATGTATATATTATTTAACGAGGTCAGCGATGTTTTTGAGGAGCGATGCTTTTGACCGACGATGACAATCTCGTTTTAGGAAGGACGTCCGCGACCGTTGACGAGAGAACAACTGTAAACTTCCGTATCTTTTAACGTACTTTACTTCAATAAATCTACTTGTTTTAAATAAAATAAATTAGTTAATAACCAAACCAAGATTCCTACAAAAATTTGTCCACAGATCGTAATATAGAAAACAATTCTAATAATGAAAACAGGAAATCAAGATTTCTAGATATGTAAAATAATCGCGTTTTTTTAATCGCGTTTTTTAATCGCGAGTTTATAGACAATTCTCAATGTAAAATTGCAAACATAGTAAAAATCTTGGTGATCGACACTTACGTTTCTGCAACGCAATCACAATTTA